CAGTGATCTGAGTACTATTCATGGGAATAATTGCTGAAATGGAATAGTCTGAGCAGTACTAGTCACTTCATCGTGTAATTGTGTTATTCGTCGTAATCAAGTACCAACGCAGGTTTCCGCAATTAACATGAATTTGTTAGGGACTATTCTCATTCATTCGGGTTGTTCAGATAGCAGCTGTGCGGTTTCTAGTTCCAGTTATTCACTTGTCTAAGATGAGCCACGAACATTGCTGTATCCATGACGAAATTTGTTTTCAGTTTGGTTTTGCCTGTTCAGTTGTTTTTAGTGTATATGATAATACTGCGTGATTGGCAATAAAGTTTTTTGTTATGCCATATATATACAGGTTTCATCATATCAACAAGTTCACTTCACAAATTTACAATTTTTTCTTGTGAACCATTCGAGTGTTGTTCATTGGGAAAAGCATCCAAATGAATTTCAGAATTCGAATGATCACCACTAATATTATAACAATCAAACAAATTAGTGCAGCAATAACGTCGATGCAAAAGTATTTGATGAAATTGAGTTTAGCACCTTCGACACTGAGTTCAGGTAGAGATCCAAATTGTACCACAAAATTGGTCCATTTGATCAATTGCTCGCGCGGTTTGTTCGGTTTATTTTTGATCATTGCAGAGAGGCGTTTAGATGCTTTCAAATACCTTCAAATAATTCAGTTAGCTCGAAGGAAGTTTAAACCGTAATGAGAGCTCACAGATCAAGGAGGAAAACCATTGAGTTTGCAGCATTCGTTAGAGTTAGTTACTCTTAATACAATGAAAATAAACGACTCAAATTAGGGTGATCATTGTTGAGATAATCATTGTTAAAACGTTGAGAAGCAGGCATACGATTGGATTTTAAAAATGTCGGCCATTAGGCTTCCCGTCGTTTGGTGATGAATGCATTTTCATCTAACTGCATCACAATTTGACTTGTTTAATTTAGATTCTGATCCCTTTCCGGGATGCCCTTCCACCTCAAACTCGACAGTATTCTAAACTAGATTTGACGCCAAGCAAATACGCAACCTACTTGCTATTGTTCAGCAGATCATCCAAAGCTTCGCTCAGTTTCGCATAGTTCAGATCGTACTTCTGCAAGCTTCGACCAATACCTCTAGTTTCAGCAGCACGTCCATTGCGGAACTGATCAGCAAAGAACGGGATCACCAGCAAGGGAGTACCACGAATAGCGGCTTCGATCATGCCGTAGAAGCCTCCGTGCATGACAAAAAGTTTGAGGCGAGGATGTCCTGAAATGATTCCATGAGCATATTTCCATATTTTTACAATTACAATTGCCTTTGTGATCGATAATGTTGTTAAAATTAGAACTATTTGATTAGTATCCGCGATGTCAGTGGTGCTAACGTTCGGGTGCTTCATTACCCCTTCTGATGATCTGGCAGGCCGACGTAACCCCCTCCCTGATACAAGAACTTACTATTTCTACGTATAATGTCAGGAACAAAA